ATCCAAGACCTCATCCGTCCGACATCAGCGACTCCAGGAAGAGGATGAAGAGAAGTGCAAAAAACGGACTTCGAGGCCAACAATTGACGAGGAGGATGAAACACCACAGTCGGAACAGGTGGATAAATTCAAGCAATTATTAACAAACAGATTTTGATCAGCTGTAGTTTGTGGCTGCCTCGCCAGCTGTTAAGCAGTTAGCGGCTTTTCCAGTTGCTCTAATCAATGTTGCATAGTCAGCCTGCAGGCAACCCTGATGTTCGTTTAGCCTGCTGAAGGAATTACCAGCTCAACGGATTTTTTGAAGGAACCATTTGACGAGGCTTTAGCCGCATTGGGAAAACTAGGGGGCCTGCCCCAATATGTTGAGTCTCGTTGCGGTTTGCACTCCGAATATATTTCAGTTACAGAAAATCCGAATCCTCACCGTGATTGGTCCTCTTTCGTTGACTTCTCTGCCTCCTTTCTTGCATTGCCTATGAGAGCTAACAAAAGAGGAACCAGCAATATTGGAAGCTGAAAGAAACGGGAAGTTGTCAAAGAGAACGGGAAAGGGACGTCTTAAAGAAGGATGAAACCACAAGGTAGGGAGGTCGTGAAGGAGAAACAAGGAGGGAGCTTTGAGGGAAAACAGGAGTGGGAGGGAGATGTATGATATGGGGACGAGAAATCGTATAATAAATGCACACTCGCGGCGGTCCCATCAAGGGCGCCGCTATTCGTTGTAAAATCTACTGAACCTAATTTCAGAAGGAAACAAAATGAGATCTTTTCCGATCTGAGGGATCGCCAAAGATGTTTCAACAGACAGTCCCTAAATGACGATCGAAACTACGAATTCTCTCCGTTGATAAGGAAGAAATCATTGTTTCGTGATGAATACACTTTGCAGAACTGTATAAAATTTGTAATTTTCTTTCTTCGAAAAAAAGACACCTAGCTGCGTCTTTTGGTCAAAGTGACCCTGCGACAGCGAATAAGAAATTGTAATAACTAAGCAGCTAGTGAAAAGCAAAAACGTCAAAGATCAAGCTGAGGAAACCGATAATCTGATAACCTTTTCAGGAAACGAAACAAACATCAAAATCACCAGTAAGCTGACCAAAAAGCGCTGGTCAGAGAAACTGGAGAAGTTGCCAGCTACGCGCCTGGAGAACAATGCCGTGAATTACGGCTGATCAAAATATCGAAATGAGTTATCGATTTGCATGAACCTTGCAGGCGTCATGGAATAGCATTATAGAACCAGGAACTACTCCTGGTGAATTTCCCCCCAATAAATTCGCAGCATAGAATCAAGCCCTGTAAATCATTCGTGCGCAAGACAGGACGATATTAGAAAATGGTTTTCTTGATCTTGATAGCACAAAAAGCAGCCATCCTTTCAGTATGGGAGATTTTGAGTGGTTAGAGCTTACTGAGCTGCGCAAGCAGAGAGGTGGGGATGATGACAAACAAGTCCTGTCGGAGCAATTTGAAAAGCTACCAGTTATTTAGCATTCGTGCTGCAGCTAATTCAAATAAGTTAAAATGAAAATCCCGACTTATAATCAAAGCACCTGTTGCACACAACAGGTAAAAGTAGAAAGGCTGAAAATATTTGACTCAGGAAACAAGAGGATATAATATCTTGCCAATCTCGGCAGTTCAGTAAAATCCTAGGCATAAAATCTTATCCGATCCATTATTCAGCCAGTGACGTCTGTCTCTGACAAAGAATTTTCGGAATGTTCCATTTTGCACTAGTTCTTTTATCATCCATTCAGCTAAAGTGTTATAAGGTTGAACGGTTAAAATCATATAGTCCAAAACAATATAGGAAGTAAACAATTAAAAAATTTTTTTGCCCAGAGTAAAATAAACTTAAACTTTTAGGAAAAATTTTGGCAAGTTAGCAGCTTTAGTAGATTCGAAAAAAGCACACGCGAAAGCGTTTTAATTGCTAATTTATGATTTAAATAATGGAC